GCAGCATAGATCTGTACAAGACAAATTGTCTACATTTATCTGCTATCACTGTTTCCACTTGTGGATCAAATTAACTTGCACAGGCAAAGTCAGAACTGAAAGCTAACAAGCTGCGTAAAGTATTAGCCCTAGATAAGCTTCTTCCTGTTAAGCTTTATCACTGTGCATATCATAAAACTATGGGGTTTTTTTAAGTCATTGCTGTTTGATGTTGCTTTTATGATCTGTTTTAAAGTTACTTAGGAGTGAGGTGTTACGTACATAGATAGTTTTATTAATGAAATTTAGCCTGCTAGAATGTTGCCTATTCAGGTGGATTGACTCTGGCAGGACACTAGGTGCCAACCAAAGCCAATGTATTGCTTCCTTTTCAACTGGACTGGGGACAGAAGATACAATGAAAGGCGCATGAGTTAAGGATGGGGAGAGATCACTCAGCAATTGCCATCAGGGTAAAAGAGTCTCAGGGAAATTATTTTAGTTCCTTACCAACCAAATCAGAATAGGGTAATAAGAAGTGAAACTAAATTTTAAAAAAATCTTTTCCCCCCTCCCTTCTTCTCAGGATTAACTTTATTCTTGAATTCTTCCCCCAGGCAGTGCGTGGGGGGAAATGGGGGGCTGTGGTCAGTTCATTATGTGTTGTCTCTGCTGCTCCTTCCTTCTCAGGACGAGGACTCACACTCTTCTCTGTCTCCAATATGAGGTCCCTCCCATGGGAGACGGACCTTCATGAAGTTCTCCAAGATGAGTCCTTCCCATGACCTGCAGTTCTTGACAAATTGTTCCAGTGTCAGTCCTTTCTGCAGGGTGCAGTCCTTCGGAAACAGGCTGCTCCAGTGGGGTCCCCTAGGGGATCACACGTCCTACCAGCAAACCTGGTCCAGCATGGGCTCATCTCTCCACAGGGCCACAGGTCCTACCAGAAACCTGCTCCAGTTCAGGCTTTCCACAGTGTCCCCCCTGCCCTTGCACATCCACCCACTCCAGCACTGAGTCCTCCACAGTGTAGAGATGGATCTCTGGTCTGCCATGGACCTTGGTGAGCTGCTGGGGCACAGCTCTCTCACCATGGTCTGCACCATAGGCTTCATGGGAAGCTAATTGTGTGATTGGAACACCTCCTCTCCCTCCTTCTACTGATCTTGGTGTCTGCAGGGCTGTTTCTCTCACATATACTCACTCCTCTCTTCAGGTGCAATTGCTGTTGTGCAGGGTGGGTTTTTTTTCCTTTAAGCACATTATCCAAAAAGCTCTACCACCATCACAGATGGTGTGATGGCTAAAGCTCAGATGGCTAAGGCTGAGCCTCAGCCAGCATTGGGTCCTTCTTGGCCCTGGGTGAAGTTTCTGCCTGCTTCTAACAGAAACCATCCCTGTAGGGCTCCCCTCCACGCATACACTACCTGAACCTTGTGAAAGCAAAGTTTTGCTAAGACCACTTATTTGGAATGTGTTAGAACTTAAAATGAGAGGAGAATGTTATACCTTTCTTGCCTTTCTAATTTTAGAGAGATATTCTAAGAAATAATTACCCTGTGCCTTTTTCCCAGGCTGTTTTATCAAGTGGAACCACAGTTTGTTTTCCCACACTGAGTGCTCTCTGCATCAGATTTGGTGGAGTCTCAATTTTAGTCATTTTGTTTAATTGATTCATCTCTTCTGTGACTATATCTTCACAGGTTTGCTTTTTTTTGTTATATAAGTTTGACCTTTGCTAATGCTGCTGTAGAGATGGGATTCAAAATCACTTTTTTTGCCTCAATTTTCTCTTTTTTTCATGCCTTGAAGGTACTTTCTGTATCAAGTTGTCTTCTATGTGTCTTCATCACCTAAGGGAGCATCCTGGGTTGAGGTACAGTAAAGGATGATCTCCTATTCTTATATATTCAAATGAAATGTTATGTTTATTGCTTCAATTGTATTAAATTCTGTGGAATAGTATGAAATAGTAAGATTAAAAATTACTTCTATCAATAAAAAGAAACTGGCATATGTTTCTGGTTTTTATGAATACTTGAGGAAGCCCAGTTTCAAAAGGTTACAATTTTAGTGCTTCATACCCCTCTCTATTTTCCAATTTAAATAGTAGGAATGTTCTGTTTTATTGCCATTTGTATTTGAAGTGCTTTATTGTTTTTGGCTTGAGTGATAATTTCTTATATCTGCTAAGGAAATTGCATCAATACAGTAAATATTGTAAACTTCCATGTTTTGAGAAAGACTTGCTCTAACTCTCCTCTGAGACAAATTATTTAATCTTCTTCATTGGCTCAGTAATCTTGAAAAGGATCAGGTCTCTTCCTTTGTGGCCCCCCAAAGGGATGAGTCGTGGCATTTAAAAATTCAAAATTTGGTTTTCATGTTCTTTTAATGTTTCTCTATGGATCTTGGAAAAATCAGGTCAGGCATGCTGCCAAAGTTCAAATGTACTCAAAGTGAGGGGAGTCTTTCCCACCCTAATCAAGCACAATTGACAACTAAGGCCATACATGAATACATATGGTCTAGATTATTGATGCCGTCTATAGGCTTTATCATATTTTCTCAGTAACATTTTCTTACAAAAATAACAACCAGAGTTGCTTATCATCCTCTTGATGGGCATATATGAATGTTCTTAGTATGGACTAAGAATTGTTTACATACATGGAGACTTCTAAGAAGACAATTCAGCTCCATATGTAAGGGTCATGTGTTAGCAAACTTGCATGTTGGCAACATCTGTTCTGCACTTATTGCAGTGACACAGCATCAAGGTAAATGGTCAAATAAGACTAAAAACCAATAATATATTTGCAAATAAAGATACAAAAATAGCACGGTAACTTCCCAATTTTACAGTAATTTTTAATTTAAATTTTGATGCATTTTTAACAATGGTATAAAATGAGATTCCTTCAAGAATTGCTGATTACAACAGAATCAATAGAATGGAAACTGAGGCATTTTTAATAGCTTTGATATTTACTATTGGTCTATTATACATATTTCTTTTTTGTGCCTTTTTTCTTGAAGAGTACAGTTTTCCTTCCCAAAAGGTACTTAAAGGACACTTCCAGGAGTACTAGTTCCTTCACATGCTGTAATGACACTTTTTCCTTTGTGTTTGTTTCTTATTGAATGATAAATTCTGTTACATATCTTCACTTGGGAAGACATTTTCAGTTGTGACCAAAGTTACTTCCCTTCCTCTAAGACAAAATAAATGTGCATCAATTTCTATAGAAACAATAAATCTATTTAAATATGGGCAATGGAACAGCCTTCTTGGATGTGCTCAGAGACTGTAGCAAGTGAAGAATGATGGAAAATGAATGGGAAATCTCATGAATGGGTTGAAATATGAGTAGTTAGAAGCTTAAGTTATGATGTGTATATAACTTGATTTTTTTAAAATGTGATTTCCCTCAGTAGGGGTAATGGAATGTAGCCAGAGACTATTGTAGTGGGAGATGGGATCTATTTAGTTGCTAAAGAAGCCATGCAAGATGCATAAAGTAGCTGTTGCCTTATTTTATTGTTTGGATTTGGGTTTTGTTGGGCTGGCATTTTTTTTGTGTGTGTGCTTGCTTTTAATTTGATGCAGACTTGTGGTTTTGTTTTGTTGTGGTGTTAGTTTTGATTTGGGTTTTTTTTGCTTCAGTTTGGAGTTGTTTTGCATGGAGTCATATTTTTTGCCTTGGATTTTGGTTTTTTTCCCTTTGATTTGTGGCTTTTGTTTGTTTGGTTTGGGTTTTTAACAGAAATTCAGAGAGAGATTTTTTTTCACCTATTTTACGTATGTCTTTTGGGAGAAAATGCTTTTGTCTCCTGGCAGTGGAATAGATTTTATGAGTCATGGAAGAGTTGGGAGCATTTGATAGTTCATTTCCCTAAAATAATTTAAAAAAATATATTGAAAGTCCTAGTGTCAGACAAGAGAAGTCATGCAGCTATATCTACTGTTCATGATGGAAAGACTATCAGCTATAGTGCTGCTAAAAATTTTGGGATATTAGTAGGAAAGTAGAGCTATGTCCCTTAAAGCTAAAGCTAAAGGAAATCTGTCTTCTCAGTCTGAGATTGTGACACAGGAATTGTCAGTTTTCTGTACGTAATGAGGGATTTTTTAAAATGGGAAATGTTCGGTTTTTCATAGCCATGGCAAATCATCCATCTGTGTCTAACTGTATCAGTTTTATGCCTTGAGGACCTGCCAATTAGGTAGCCTGTGATATCAGGCTTGGGACAGTGGTGTCATGCTTTGTCATGTTGGTTACAAAAATATTGGAGTTTGTATTCCAGAAATGAATCATTCTTACCTTATATTTTAATATGTAACTGTAAATTTTAATGCAAAAAGAGCTTTTCAAAGTTTTGGGTGTTTTTTCCTAACTTTCCTTGCCTTGGTCTTTTCTCTTCTGATAATCTAGAATACTACAGTTTTTTGTAATAATTTCCAAGACCCCCTGGCCAATTGCAGAGCTAATTATGAAAGTACATGTATTTTCAAGGTTATATGATGCAGCTGAGTGAAAAACCAGTCTTATTTTAGGTTATTTAAAATTCAGGAGGGATAGCAGGAGCAAGTAGTGTCATAAGAATCCAATCAATTTGGTTGAGTACTAGGACCTGTGCTTAAGTACTGTGATTGAAATAACTAATATTATACATAAATAACTAATAACTAATAGTTATACATAACTATTATGTATAACTAATAACTAATAACTAATGTTATACATAATATTTGGGGGACTGGGGTCAGAGTCTTCAGTTTATAAGGGGAGAGAGAAATAAAAACTGAGCAAATAATGCTTAGTGAAGAACTAAGTGAAGAAGTATGACAAAAAGTTTTGGTTTGTATAAATGACTTGTACTTAAAAGAAAAATGTGGTTTTCGTTTTGATAATGTCTGACCAATGAGAATCTTTTTCAAGTTACTGTGGAGTGGCCTTAATGCTGTAAATAATCCAATTGGCCAAGTCCCAGTACAGTGCAGATGAGAAAAGGATGCAGGAAATTCTGTTGTTTACACATGTGTCTGCTACACTGAGAAGCAAGAGGAGCCCAGCAAACTCAGAAGGTAAGGGATCTTAAGCTTGTGGGTTTAATGTTTAATTTCTATAAATCTCTTCAGGGACAAAGCATGAGTTACTATTATGCTGATGGTAAGGAGGAAAACAGTCTGAACTGCCCAGGAAAAGTACTGAAGATCAGAAAACAGTATTTGAAGTATGTGGCTCAGTTATATCTAGCTGGATTCTTCTCTTCTATGTTTTTTGCTACTATCATGTAGCATTACTTCTAACATCCCATTAAACATAACTTGTCTTGCAAGTGTAGAAGAGTGCTTACTTACTATAACCAGCTTTAAAACTTTCTAAGTGATGGTTTGTTAAAAAGTTATCTCTTAGTGTTGATTAGAAATTAGTATAAATGCAGAAGTTTCACAGATTATAAAGTTTTACTACTGAAAACCTTTTAAAAATTACTTTGTGAAATGCATATATAATGGCATAAACTGGTAAAACTTTGGTACCTTTTAAAGGGAGTGGTATTATGGACATAAGTGTCATTAAAATATTGTTATGAGTTTGCAGAAGTTTGTACTGTATTTTTTTGTTGGAAAGCAGTGTTTTCACAGTGTTTCTATTTTCATAAGTTATGCAACTCAGTAATGAGTTGTATAATCCTAACTTCCTTCAGAAAATATCTGAAGATGAGATAAGAAAAAAATGTGTCCTGGCTGTATGCTATTATTCTAATGCCATAAAGTATATTTTTTTGATAGTATGATTTGTTGATGCTGGAGAAATATATTCAGTCTGTCATTATTTTAAAGTCAAGTATCAGAGATGGTGGGAGACACTGTGGATGATCCTTAAGCAGTGAGAACCAAGCGTCAAATTCCAAAGGCAATGTTCATAAGTTTAATCAGCAGATATAGCAAATAGTACTAATGGGCTTCCTACTGACTATCCAGATAGCTGCATTTTGTTTGTATTTTGTTCTCACTGATTCATACAAACATTTTATGAAGCAGACTCTGCTAGAAATAATCCTAGAGCTAGAGTACTAGTTTTTAGTTTGGATTTCCTGTGTTGTTAGAAAATTTACTTTTGTGTTTCTGAATGCAGCTCTTTGCATAAGATAACGAATATAAATTAATTTCCAAAATATATTAGGTATCATTAATAGAACTAGTCATATCACTTTCAGAGACATCTACAAAAATTGAAATTGAAAATGTGAAATTAGATGTCTGGGGGTGATTTTTGCTTATTTTCATGTAGCCAGCTTTGAATTGAGGCCTCTCTTTCACCTTAAGTATAAAATACTAATGGTAACCTCAGTTAAATCTGAAAAATAAATCACTTGAAAATGAATGTACTAAAGGAGCTGTTAGTGAACAGGCTTAAATTATTGTTGTTTTATCAACATAGATAGATAGATAGATAGATAGATAGATAGATAGATAGATAGATAGATAGATAGATATTGGACAGACAGGTAGGTATTGGAATAATTTGAAGTGTACAAATTTGATAATCATGGAATTATAGATTCATAGAAAGGTTTGGGTTGGAAGGGACCTTAAAGATCACCTAGTCCCAGTCTCACCCCCGAGTACATCAGGTTGCTTAAGGCACCATCCAACCTGGCCTTGAACACATCTGAGGATGGAATCTACAACTTCTTGGGGAAGCCTGTTCCAGTGGCTCACCTGATCTATTCACTAGAAAGAGAGTTCTTTCTAGTCCATACAATGATCATTAATTGACTGGTTTATTATGAAAATGATCCTTCCTGAACAGCTTGATTCCCTGCTCATGCTAATTCAGTAATCTAGGTCTGATTTACACTGGGTTAAATAAGACTGGGATTTTTACCAAACCCATTCTTATTTAATGTCAATCACATTACTGGAGGAATACCAGGGAGGAATTTTTGTGAAAGCTCCTACTGTTTTGATTTTTTTTTTTAATGTATTTTCAGTTGCCTTGGATGTTTCTCCATAACTTTTGCGGGTGTCCGTTTTTGCAAAAGGGTGCCAACTTCCCTTCTGCCATGCTGAGTAGTCACCAATTATTCAAATAATTTCTTCTCTTTTAGTGGGACTACATTTTGGCCTAGAGCGCGTGGGCACTAAGAGAATATACATTAGAGAGAATGTATATTCTCTTATTATAGAGAATTAAATGCATAAAGAATTCTCTATGCGTTTAACTGGCATCCAGGATACAACCAATGATACTTAGTGATTTATTTTATTTGACCACTCTAGCAACTGTGGAATCCAGGTAAAAGTCACAATATAGATTATTCCTTTGTTCATTTCCCTCAAGGATTTAGTGGAGTTGAGGTCATCAGGGGATAATATCTTACAGCATTAAATCACACAAAATCACAGTCCTTGAGCTATTGAAAGACATGAGATGGTGTTAAAATAGTAGATTGGCTAGAGAAAAATAAGAATAATTACATATAAATGTCCAAGTAGCAATCTTTTTGTAATGAATGTTCTTGGAACAATTAATTATACAAGATATGGCTTCTAAAACTGTTCTAATTAGACCAAAAACATCTCCACACAACAGAATTGTCAATTCTGATACAACTATATCAGAGTAGTTGAACCAGCCAAAGGGATATGCCCTGACCCAGAGAAAACAAAATATTCATGAGTGTTCTTACTTGTCTGCTTATGTGGGTGGGAAAATCACTTGTTTCTAGACTCTGAGCAGTGTTTTGAAGAAAAATCGTTTTGTGTCCTTATAAGCATTGGAATGTTTTATGTCTTGGTCTGAAATAAATCATCAGATATTTGTGATTAATTTTCCCTTCTCCCAGTGTTATGAAATTTCCTTTAAAAGTAGGTCATGTTTTGAATAGGAAAGCATCATAAATGACTTCAGCTCTAACAAGACAATTCTTGATCTCTCATATCATAAAGCATATGGTTTTAAGATACTGTTAAGGGTTTTAAAACTCTGAAGAATTTCTCTGAGTATAAGCAGAGATTAGAAACTTAACTTTTTTCTTTTTCAGGGATAGGCCATTACATCTTCATGCTTTATTGAAAATAAAATAAAAGAAAGAAAAGAAAACAAAAAAAAAACCACACCAGAAAAACCCCCAAAACAAAACCAATCCCCTCAACCCAGTGGGATAAAAAAGCCTGTAAATGAAAGTGAAGATATCCAGTTCAAGGTCACTTTCCAAATGAGTAACATAGAAAATAATAGAATTGAGGTACATTTGTGATGATTTTGTCTAAAAAATGAAGCTTCGCTATACATTTAAGTGATCTCTACTGTTTGGATGAACATGTTTTAGCATTGCATCTGACCTAATTCTTGTTCAGTAAAGTGCTTTTCAGAATGGTTAGTCTGTCTTCAGTTTCCTTTTTCTAACTTTTGAGGCTGAAAGAAACCCAGCTGAACTGACCTGTAGCCTAATCTAAAAATGTGCTAATAATCCCAGATCTATGAAATTCTCAGCTGTGTTTGAGTAGTTGAGCCTCCTCAATTCAATTATTGAACTATATTCAACAAGAAGCTACAGTAACTCTACACAACTATATTGAACAAGAAGCTACAGTAACTCTAATCTAAAAATGTGCTAAAAATCCCAGATCTATGAAATTTTCAGTTGTGTTTGGGAGTAGTTGAGCCTCCTCAATTCAATTATTGAACTATATTCAACAAGAAGCTACAGTAACTCTCACAAGGAGGTGCATTTGGCTTTTGAACATAAGTAAATGAAGCATGAAACAATAGAATGCTAATACTATCAATAGCTGAGAAAGGAATTTAACCTTTGATAAATCAACATGATACAATGGTCTTTTAATTGTGTGCTATAAGCTTATTCATAGCTTATTTGCAATTATTTATACTTGATGTAACTTAAATTGTTTAACTAATACCCTGAATGACAATCACCCGCTGAATGAGATGTTTTTAATTTTCTTGTCTTCTTTGACTTTTAACTTAGAGCTGGCTTTAATGCTTGTGAAGACTTCTAAGACCAGTTATGATTTAGATACTGAAAGGCAGATCTAAGCTTGTGGATGATGTATACCCTGGATATTATTTCCGTATACCTTGGATATTATTTCCCTACATTTCTATAGTCTTCCCTCTTTCAGAAAACTTCAGAGGAAATCTGTGCAAGATACTCTTCTGTGCAAGATACTCTTCTGTGCCATGTTAAAGGGCTGCCTGTCAGTATAAGCCAGACAGGGCATGTGTGCACTGGCTGAGCTCATATCCTGTAATAACACACTGACAACTCAAATCGAGCTGGGTCTTTTGAGATTCTCTATTGTAACTGACTATTGGCTCCCTTGTAACTAAGCTGAGTGGTGTAAGAAGCTATCTGCTTATCCTAATTGTTCTCAGTAAAGGGAATGACCCTGTTAGCACTGCAACTCATTTCAATGTTGATAAAAAATGTTTGTCATGCTAAACATTTCTGAAACTTACTCTGCTTTCTGTGTAAACAGAGGAGGAAGACTCATGCATTTGGTTATTTTTAGTCTTAGCTGTGGAACTGCTGAAAAACAAACCAACCAAAAAAAAACCCAAACAAACGACAAAACCAAAAAAGCCCCAGCAGATACTATTTTAATGTGATTAGATCAAATTTCGTTGTGCCTGCAGAACAAGATGCCTATAGGTGTTTCTGTAAATCACAGGAAGTGTTCACTTGTATCTTTAGCTATAAGCATTAAAAAAGTGCTTCAGTGTAGTGAGCTAGTATTAACTAATGTGGACCTTATTGTTCTGAAGCAATTATTTGTTTCAAATTTGAACAACAGATTACTATTGTTCTAAAGAAATCTCTCTATGCTATTCAGAAGGTACCTATTAGACCAGATGTTTAACTGATATGAATTATTTTGTATGAATGAACCATTGCCTTATTTTAAATACACTCTGAATCTGTTTTCAATTGAAGTTATCGTTAATATGCTGATTCATAATCTGTTTTTCCTAATAATATTTCAGACAATATATTCCATGGAGATTACCAATCTTCACATAGAATCTCTGAGATTAGATTAGAATTCAGGGGATT